CCAAGCATGTGGTCAATTGTTGAGAAGGTTCCATGGGGTGCTGAGAAGAAGGTATATTCTTTTGTGTTAGGATGGAATGTTCTGTAGATATCTATTAAGTCCATTTGACTCATAATATGTTAGGTCCTTTATTTCTTTGTTAAGTTTCAGTCTGGTAGATCTGTCTTTTGGCGAGAGTGGTGTGTTGAAATCTCCCACTACTAATGTGTGGGGTTTGATGTGCAACTTAAGCTTTAGTAATATTTCTTTTATGAATGTGGGTGCCTTTGTAATTGGGTTCAGAATCAAGACTTCATCTTGGTGGATTTTTCCCCTGATAAATATGTAATGTCCATCCTGATCTCTTTTGATTGATTTTAGTTTGAAGTCTATTTTATTAGATATTAGGATAGCTTCACCAGCTTGCTTCTTAGGTCCATTTGATTGGAAAGCCTTTTCCCAGCCCTTTACTCTGAGGTAGTGTCTGTCTCTGGAGTTAAGGTGAGTTTCTTATATGCAGCAGAAGGATGGATCCTGTTTTCTTATCCATTCTGTCTGTATCTTTTTATTGATGAGTCGAGACAACTGATATTGATGGATCTTAATGACCAGTGATTGTTAATTCCTGTTATTTTTTTGCCGTAGTGTTGCATTTTCCTTCTTTGGTATTTGTTGGTGTGGGATTATCTATTGCTTGAGTTTTCATGGGTGTGTTTAGCTTCTTTAGGTTGGATTTTTCCTTCTAGTGTTTTCTGTAGGGCTGGATTTGTGGATAGGTATTGTTTAAATCTGGTTTTATCATGGAATATTTTGTTTACTCCTTCTATGGTGGTTGAGAATTTTGCTGAGTATAATAGTCTGGGTTGGCATCCATGGTCTCTTAGTGTTTGCATAACATTTGTCCAGGACCTTCTAGCTTTCATAGTCTCTATTGAGAAGTCTGGTGTTATTCTGATGGTGTTATTCTGGTTTTATTCTGCCTTTATATGTTACTTGGTCTTTTTCCTTTGCGGCTCTTAATATTTTTTCTTTGTTCTGTATGTTTAGTGTTTTGATTATTATGTGGTGAGGGGACTTTTTTTGGATCCAGCCATTTGGTGTTCTGTAAGCTTCTTGTATCTTCATAGGTATTTCTTTCTTTAGGTTAGGAAAGTTTTCTTCTATGATTTTGTTGAATATATTTTCTGTGCCTTTGAGTTGGTATTCTTCTCCTTCTTCTATCCCTATTATTCTTAGATTTGGTCTTTTCATGGTGTCCCAAAATTGTTGGACATTTTGTGTTACGACTTTTTTGTCTTTAGTGTTTTCTTTGACTGACGAATCTATTTTCTCTATTGTGTCTTCAGTGTCAGAGATTCTCTGTTCCAGCTCTTGCATTTGGTTGGTTATGCTTGCTTCTGTAGTTCCTGTTCGTTTAGTCAGGATATCTATTTCCAGCATTCCCTCAGCATGTGTTTTCTTTATTGTCTCAATTTCAGTTTCAAGTCTTGAATTGTTTCCTTCATCTGTTTAATTACTTTTTCTTGGCTTTCTTTGATTTCTTCTAATTTTTTGTTTGTTTTTTCTTCCATTTCTTTAAGTGTTTAAATTTTTTATTTCCTCTTTAATGGAGATTTTCATCTCCTCTTTAATGGAGTTTTTCATTTCCTCTTTAAGGGTCTCTATCATCTTCTTAAAGTCATTTTTAGGATTGATTTCTTCTGCTTCTTCTGCCTTGGTATGTTCAGGTCTTACAGGTGTAGAATTGCTAGGTTCTGATGTTGTCATATAGGTCTTTATGTTGTTGCCTGTATTTTTGCACTGATCATCTCTTCCTCTGCTCCGTGTAGATGGTGTCTGTATCTGAAGGTGCCTCTCTTGTTCTAATTGTTAGTCTTGGTCCACTAGGAGTTCTTGGTTAATTCGGTGCCTTTGGGCTCTCTTTCTTTGGGAGCAGTTTAGTTCAATCAGTGTTAGTGGGTTCTGTCTCAGGAAGCAGTTGTTCCCAGTTGGTGCAGGGCCTGCTTATGGTTTCAGTAGTGGTTGTTAGGTTCATAAGGGTTGGGTTTTGTTTTTGTTTTTTTTTTCGGTGGGGGAACAGGAAAAGGTAGCTGTCTGTTCCCTGGGACTCTGATGGGTAGGGCCTAGGGGCTAGAGACCTGATCTGCCGATTTGGAGATGGGGGCTTACCTGTTCCCAGTCGGTGTAGTGTAGGCTTATGATTCTGGTGATCTGGTCCAGTGGCTGGGCGGTGCCTTCTTTTGTGTTCTCAGGTCATGTTTTGCTCATTTGTCAACTCCTCAGCTGATCTTGTTTCCTCAGACTGCAGACTGTAGGATTCTGAATCCTCTCCTGGATGGATCTCAGCTGAGCAGGTTGTTTTCACTAGTAAATCTTCACTCCTCCACTTTCTTTTATAAACTCCTGTAGATGCAATTCTGTGTCTTATCCTGGTGGAGACAATGTTACCACTGGAGGATGTCTTTCTCTAGGACTGAATGTCACCAGGAGATGGCTGCTTTACGGACAGATTTAGACACAGTGGTTGGAGGCTGGAGTGTTTGTGACTCTCCTCCACACCACAGATACAGCTTCCTCTGAGTCTTGCTGGCAAATCTCCTTTTGAACCTACTTTAAAAGAGCAACTTGTTTAAAATGTTTCACATTGATATGGATTTTAGTTTATTGATACAAGTTTAAACTTAATTTTGTTATACTGTATATATATTTCTATTCTCATTTGAGGTATTATGTTTATGTAACTCATTTAGATTGTAATAGATAATTAAGAAATACAGAAAAATTATTCTTCTATGACAGTCAAACTTGTAGCATGTTAGTTAAGTTTTCTAGGTAATGTAGATATATTTCAGATAGATAGGTAATCTTCAAACACTTCAAAGACCTACAGAATATGGCATTTAAAATATTTTTAAAAATTTAGACTTTCTGGACAATGAGACATATCTGTTCATCACAGCACTGATTTACTTCAGAGAGGAGGATGGGCATCAAAGACACTCTATATGGAGTTTATCTTTTTCGGCAAAAATAGCCATTTGGGCAAGAAACTATTCTTGCCTGGACTGCTTGATCGACTGGACATGCAGGACCCATAGGAAGGTGACCACTGAACTTTGCTTGGCAAAATGGTCCTTCAGGTTCCTGCTTTGCAGAAGAAAGTGCCAGACATTCTACAGAACACAAAGAAAAGTGACTGAGAGACTCTAGGCCTGTGGCCTGAAGACAGATGCCCCAACTTTACAGAGGAACTTTGGATGACTGTCCAGGCTGCCAGCTGTCTCTGTCTACTCTTGCAAGACTCCAGAAAGTTGTTTGCATCCTTCTCCCATTTCTCAGGTAATATTATATCCTTCTGAGGTCTTTGATGTAGTTGAAGACAGTTATAATTTCCTTAGTTATGACTAGAGATAAGTTAGATCTGAAACCTTAGACTCACAAATATAAGATAGATAGGATATCTTCTTTAATTTTTGCCAAATACAAATAGACTAGATATCATAGACTAGATATTGTAACTGTAATTCTTGCTTGATAATTGTTTTGTTATATGTAATTTTATCATGTGAAAGTTAAAATCTTCCTTTTTGAAAAAAAGAAAAGGGGAAGTGCTGTGGATATCACTCTGTATAAATGGACAGGAAGTATAGGTGGGACAAGCAGAGAAGAGAATTCTGGGAACAGGAAGGCTGAGTCAGGAGATGCTGCTAGCCACCGCAATGAGTACCAACATGTAAGATACTGGTAAGCCATGAGCCATGTGGCAAGGTATAGATTTATAGAAATGGGTTAATTTAAGATGTAAGAACTAGATAGCTAGAAGCCTGAGCCATTAGGCCAAACAGTTTAAATAATAAAAGAGTCTGTGTATTTATTTTATAACTGGGCTAAGGGACTGCTGGGGCTTGGCGGGAGCTGGAGAGAAACTCTCCAGCTATACATCCCCACAGTGACACACTTCCTCCAACAAGGTCACACCTACTCCAACAAAGCCACACCTCCTGATAGTACCATTCCCTTTGGGGACCATTTTCTTTCAAAGCACCACAGTATAATAAACTCTGAAGGTGGCAAGAGCAAGAATCTACAAAAACAGGTTAACAGAGGAGCTTTACAACATGGCACATGGCCTTGGCTAACAATGATGGGTTGCAGGCATGGGATTCTCACGTTCACCTGGCAGCCATCCCTGGTGATACCAATGCATCTGCAGAGCCTGAAGGGCCCCTCACAGGGACAAGGTTTGTTCTCACTTCCTGCCTCTCTCTCCCCTGCAGTGTGCTTGGAGCTATGACTGAAATATCACAGCAAATTCTAACATGGATGTGGTTGTCATTTTTATCTAGCTGCTTAGTTTTTAAAAAATTCTAACTTGGGGGCTGGAGAGGTGGATCAGTGGTTAAGAATACTGGGGCTCTTCCAGAGGACCTGGCTTCAATTCCCAGCAACCACTTGGTGGCTCACAGGATATACTCAAAATTTTAAGTGTGAGATTGGGCATCATGGTACATGCCTTTAATGCCAGTACTCAGTAGGCAGAGGCAGGTATATCTCTGAGGCCAAGCTGGTCTACACAGTGAAACCCTTTTCCAAAAACAAACAAACAAAAATTTAAATTAGACATAAACTCTTACTGGATCCTAATTAAAAAGTAAGACATTTTAGGGACAACTGGAAAAATATGAGTGTGGGCTAGATATTGTTAGGAACTTACTGTTTTTAAATATACATAAATAACCATGGCTCCATGACTGTCTGAGAAAATTTCTACTGAGTTATTTATTGGTAAGAAGCTGCATGCAATTTAAATAGTTCAGCAAAAATCTGTAGAAAAACTAATATGGTAAAAATATCAAGAACAGTTGGATCAAGGTGTTTGTTTTCCAAACTTTCTGTATGCTTGGTAACTTTATAATTACAAGTTGGAAAACTAGAGTATTGTAAATCATTCCTCTCATTGCAGCACTCAGGAAGCCAAAGCAGGAGGATTGCTCTAAGTTCACAGCTTGGGCTGCCGGGTGAGATCCAAGCCACTCAGGACTAAGGGAGATGTATACAAATACATTATCAAGCAAGCTTTGATTTGGGGCCTTTCCTGGACCTTTAGCCCACTTCCATTGGGAAGGCCTTTGAGCTACCAATTTTAATGGATAGGTTAACTGCCTACAAGGATAAAAATTAATTGCGGAAAAATTAAGAACTTAACTAGAGTGGAGACAGGGAATGTGAAAGAGACAAGGTATACATTTAAAAAAGCCTGTCAAATGGATAATTCCAGAAAAGAGGTTGAAGTCGTATTTATAGAAACAATTTCTAAAAACAATTCCTGAGGCCACCTGCAGAATTTCTGGGAGTGTAGGTGGGAAGACCTGTTCACGGGGACACCGTCTCGAGTCTGCTAGACAACACACACAGCAGCCTGAGAGGAGGAGACATGAGGAACCAGGGCTGACTCCCTGTCTGTCATGGTTCGGACGGGGAGTTGCCCAGCACGTGGAGGAGGTCACCCATGTCTTTCAGCTGCAGAGGCAGCACAAACAGCTGGCAGCTGCCCCCACTGAGTCTGCTGGATCCCTAGCAAAGAGCAGCACTGTGACCGCTGAAAACCTGGAGCCTACGGAGGATGGCAAGCTGCTTTTCCCTTCCAAGGTCCTCAGCATGTTGAACTAGCCAGTGCATCTCACAATTGACATGCCCAGGAAGCTTTCCTGAGGTTCCTTCCGGGTTGCAGTTCTAGTCAAAACCGTTTTCGATCTCAACTCCTCCAGCCCCTTTGGAGTCCCACCTAAGAATCTGGCCTGGCCTTCAACCATCTATTCCGGTGGTTCTCAACCTTCATATATATAATATGTATATGATATATGTATACACACACATATATTGGCTTTTCGAGACAGGGTCTCTCTGTGTAGCTCTGGCTGTCCTGGAACTTGTTCTGTAGCCCAGGCTAGCCTTGAACTCACCGAGATCCACCTGCCTTTGCCTCCAGAGTGCTGGGATTAAAGGTGGGATTAAATCAACCATGCCTGGTCAATTCTCAACTGTCTTAATGCTGCGGCCCTTTAATACAGTTCCTCATGTGTGGTGGCCCCCAGCCACAAAATTGTTTCATTGTTACTTTGTAATTCTAATTTTGCTACTGTTATGCATCATAACGTAAATATATGATATGCAGGATATCTGACCTGTGGTGGTAATCTAATTGTACTGAAATGTGATTTTGATTGTATGTTAATAAATAAAGTTGCCCAGGGGTCAGAGCTATTAGAGCCATAGCAAGAGTGTGGCGGTGGTGGCACACGCCTTTAATCCCATAGATCTCTGTGTGTTCAGGGATACAGCCGGCATTGGAGACATATGCCTTTAAGACCTAGGGGGCTGTACATTCAGACAGTGATGAGGCAGTCATGTGTTTGGGTTTACAACTAATGAGAAGGCAGAACAAAATACTATAAATAGACGTACAGACGGGAAATAGGTCTCTTTTGGGAAGCTGGGACACCGCAGGCGGAAGGGTGAGATTTTAGCTCTGAGCTCTGACCTCTTGGCTTTCTCTTTTACATTGTTTCTGTGTTTCTTATTTAATAAGACGGTTGGTTACATCAACACTGACCCCAAAGGAGTCATGACCCACAGGTTGAGAACTGATGTCCTGTTCTTTTGCAGTCCCCAGAATGGCGCCAACACCCAGTGGATAACGGCCAAAACGGTGCTTGCTGTTAAACCTGTCAACCTGAAGGGACCTGGTGGACCCATGCGGTGGAAGGAGAGGAGAGAGCTGACTTTTGCAAGTCGTCCTCTGTCTTCCATGTGTGCACGGTACCTGCTGCCCCATGCTGCGGAACGTTCTGTATGGCAAATGTGCTGCTCTGATTGGTCAATAAATAAAACACTGATTGGCCAGTAGCCAGGCAGGCAGTATAGGCAGGACAAGGAGAGAGGAGAATTCTGGGAAGTGGAAGGCTGAGTCAGGGAGACACTGCCAACTGCCACCATGACAAGCGACATGTAAAAGGTACTGGTAAGCCACAAGCCATGTGGCAACATATAGGCTAATAGAGATGGGTTAATTTAAGATATAAGAACAGCTAGCAAGAAGCCTGAGCCATTAGGCCAAACAGTTTAAGTAATGTAAGTCTCTGTGTTTACTCGGTTGGGTCTGAGCGGGTGAGAGAGATTTGTCCTGACCGTGGGCCAGGCAGGACTGGAAAACTCTAACTCTAGCTACAGCCCCCCACCAGCATAAATGAATAAATGCAGTAAAATGTCTTTAAAAAGAACAAGAGCAGGGGCTGGAGAGATGGTTCAGGGGTTAAGAGCACTGGCTGCTCTTCCAGAGGTCAACTCCCAGCTCCCAACCATCTGTAACAAGATCTGGTGTCCTCTTCTGGCCTGCACACATACATGCAGACAGAACACTGTATACTTAAAAAAAAAAAAAAAAAAAAAAAAAAAGAGCCAAGACAAAACATTCCAGGGGAGGGGGCTGCTGGTGTAAGCCCTGGTTCTGATGTTTTTCCCAGGTACCAAACCCCGGGTATCACGTTTCCTCATGCTTTTCTTTCTCCTGGTTCTAGCCCACTGGGTAGGTCCCATGTTAGCTGAGGGCAGGTCTTGCCTATCCAGGACAGGCAGCTGCACTTGAAATAAAATACTGTTTTCCTTGGACCTCTACATATATTCCTTAATCCAGTCAAATTTGCATGTAACATCATCATGAAGGCACAGATTGGGGATATTAGGAATGACAAGGGGGCATTTGCATTGACACTAAATGTATTAAACAAGTCATAAAAGGAAACTACAAAAAGTCTATGTCAATGTATTTGAAAACATAGGAGATGCATCAATTTTTAGAAAACATGGAACACTTATTAAAATTGAGTAATTAAATTATTAAAATTAAAAAATGAGTAGTTCATTAACACTTTTGAAATTGAGTTTGTAGTTTAAGACACTCATAAAATAGACCAAAAGTAAATTTTGCACAAGTGTAAGACTGGAAACTCTTTGTGAGTGAAAAGTACTAGGAATGTTTCCCAGTATGTTTGGGGATGCTATCATCATTCTGACACTACAAGAAACACATCACAAAAAAGGGGTGAATGCCAGCATCACCCCAAGCCCCAGCCTTAAAAACCTTAATATTTTTGCAAACAAAATATAGCAGTGTATGTAACAGTGTGGCTGAATTAGTTGGATTCTAAACACATGAGGTTAATTCACTGTGTTATGCTTAATGCGCAAAAGCCTGAAAAGGAGAACACATTTGGCTTATTCAAAGAATGACCTCAGCAGCCAGCAGTAAGACAGATGGGGTCTGAGCGAGTCCCGGCTGTACCTGTGAGCTGGGTGACAGCGGCACTGGGAGGCTAGGTGGAAAGTGGCTGAGTTTGGCGCATCTACCGGAGACACCTGAGGGGTCTGCAGTGAGGAGTAGGCAGGAATTGTTCTAGACAGTTGATAACAAAATGGAACGGCCTCATCAAAGCACAGGTAATTTTCAAAGTACATGTGCTGAAAGGGACTGGACCTTCCATCCCCAATAGAATGTTCTATTTCTTTTAAACTCGTGAATTCAAACAGAACTCTGTAGGGACAGAAAAGAGATGCGTGGTTGCCCAGGGACACGGGAGGAGATAACAGTGACAGGTGGGAGGAGCATGTTAGGGCGATGGCTTATTTGTTTCAGTGTGTGTGCTCACTCAGGTATGTGCCCGTGTCTCCTCCTCCCCCAGAGGAGCTCTAAGAGGCAGGCTGCAGTGGCTTTATTCTGGTTTAGTCTGTGACGCGAGATACTGCTGGGAATGTTTTACAGACACAGGAAGAAAGGTGTCTGGAACTAGGGAAGCGATCTAGGATTCACAGAGAAACCTTTTCATGTCTTTATTAGGACTGGTTGCTAAAGACAAAGCCCTTTAATAGCATTCTTCCCCTAGGTGTTCTATTGGCCACACACTTGAAAACTATCCTGATAGGACTGAGATCACCTGGTTCAGGGCTCTGTGAGGACAGGCCAACACCTAGGTTGTGCTTTCTCTGCTTGTGGGGCATTGTGGTGGTCCACAGAGGCTATCTAGTGAGACTTTACTCAGGGTCAGAGAATCTGAGTTTGCTTTACCCAGCAGGGCTGGGTAAGGAGATGATTTGGACATGGGCGTGGTTACCAGGTGTTTGGAAGGCTCTCCATTTGGCTGTATGGTGTGCTCTGATCTTGCAAGGGGGAGGTCTTTTGCTTCTCCCCTTGGCATATTATAAAAAGCCCTTTTGAATAAACAACTGGGCGTCTGGGTATTGACCCAGGGCCTTCCCCAAGCTATCCTGTGTCTGTCTTTCTTATCATCTCTATCATTTCCTCATTCCTCTCTCCCCCACCTAAGAACCCTTCAAAGGTGAGAGCAGGTCGGAGCTGGACTCTGGCAGACTCCCACAGGCCATTACTCTAGAACTAAGGTGGCCAGGTCTCATGGCGCACATGAAAAGTTCTCTTGCCCAGAAGCACCACACTGTACTTTTTCTTTTTTCTTTTTTTTTGGTTTTTCGAGACAGGGTTTCTCTGTGTAGCTTTGCGCCTTTCCTGGGACTCACTTGGTAGCCCAGGCTGGCCTC